GTCCCCAACCTTGGGCCTCCAGATTTTTTTGGACTACAACTCCCAGAAACCTTCATCACCACTTCTGCTGGCCAGGATTTCTGGGAGTTGATGTTCAAGGACATCTGGAGGCCCAAGGTTGGGGACCACTGATCTACAACACTCCTTCTCACTTGTAGTATTACTGAGCCAAATATTCTCCATCTTACAACTGTGTATTTGGTTCCCCCCCGATGTACAAATTTGCACTTATCTCTGATAAATTTCATTCTGTTGTTTACAGTCCAGTGCACAAGCCTATCAAGATCTTTCAGAATTTTGTTCCTGTCTTCCAAGGTAATAGCTACTCCACAAAATTTTGTGTCATCTGCAAATTCGATAAGCATTCTCTCTACTCCTCATACAAGTCATTTATAAATATTTTGAAGAGCACCAGGCCCAGAACTGAGCCTTATGGTACTTCACATTCTCCTAGTTTGAGGATGATAGAGAAATGTAACGGTATTGAGCAAGTTTTGCTTTCCATATATTATTCTTGTTTCTATTATTCCTTGCTCTTTGCTAGGTGCCCGCTGAAGAATTTCTGATATGGGGTGGAACCTGACATTTAAGATAAGATACAGCTTGTTTTGCAAAAGTAAAATCGCCATTAGATTAGAATTCCAAATCACGTAGTAAGGAGGGATGGGGGTATTACTTTAGTTAGATTGTGAAATCATCGGCCAATTGGCCAATGAAGACAGGTAAGAGGGGACTGGGGGGTTGTAGGTATAAAATCTTATGCACAATACTTTTCTGGCAGAGTGAGAGACTGTGATTTTCTAATTGCTTTCTCTTCCTCTCTGCTGTTGTAACTGCGTCACAATAAAGGAACTCCTTTTCACTTTCACCCCAGCTTTGTAGATTTATTTCTACTATAGGTGGATATTTCCATAAGAAGAAGAAACCATTGATAGCACTACCTGAGTATGATTCTGTAACCATGTACAGTATGTATTCACTGACACTTGTGCTATCTAGCCCACACCTAGAATAACATAGGGCACTTTGTCAAAGGCTTTGTAGAAGTCAAGATATAATACATTTACAGCATTCCCATCTACCAGGTCTGGCAGGATTTGTTCTTGACAAATCCATGTTGGCTTCTAGTTATTACTGCACTGTTTTCAAAGTACTTGCAGAGTGACTGCTTTATAATCTACTCTAGAATGTTGGCTGGGATTGATATTAGGCTGACTAGTCTGTAGTTCCCAGGTTTCCCCTTTTGCCCTTTTTGAAGCGAGGGACAGTGTAAGCTCTCCTATAATCATCTGGAACTTTACCCATCCTCCATGATTTCTAGAAAATAATAAGACAGTGGTTCTGAGATCTCTTCAGCCAGTTCCTTCATTATCCTTGGATGCAGCTCATCCAGTCCTGGGGACTTGAACTCATTCAAAACTATAAAGTATTCCCTGATTAATTGTTTATCAATCTCAAGTTGCAATTCTGTCCCCTCATTTTGTACTGAAGTAGGAACTGAGCACTTCTGCTTTTTCTTTATAATCATTTTCTCATTTCCCACTGAGTTGGTGAGCCACTGTTTCGTTTTTCTGTCTTCTGCTATGGACATACCTAAAGAATACTTTTCTGTTGCTTTTAGGGTCTCTTGCTAACCTCAGCTGTTTCTCAGCATTTGGCTTCCTAACACCATCCCTGCAATTCTTTGCTACTTGTCTGTTCGCTTCCTTTGCGGCCAGGTCCTTTTCCCACTTCCTATCAATGCCCTTTTTCGTTTTCAGGTCCTTTTTGACTTTTTTGTGAAGCCAAAAAAGGTCTTCTTTGCTGTCTTCTATCTTTCTTCATTCTTGGAATTGTTTGTAGTTGTGCCTTTAGAATTTCTTTTTTAAGAAACCCCCACCCATCTTCTAATTTAAGCTGCTGAAAATCAGCAAAAGTGTGTTGTTGTTGTTTAGTCATTTAGTCGTGTCTGACTCCTCGTGACCCCATGGACCAGAGCACGCCAGGCCCTCCTATCTTCTTCTTAAAGAACCTCATAATGAGGGTGAAAGAGGAGAGTGCAAAAAAAAAAAAGGTCTGAAGCTCAAAATAAAAAAAAATCCAAGATCATGGCCACTGGTCCCATCACCTCCTGACAGATAGAAGGGGAAGAGATGGAGGCAGTGACAGATTTTGCTTTCTTGAGCTCCATGATCACTGCAGATGGTGACAGCAGCCACAAAATTAAAAGACGACTGCTTCTGGGGAGGAAAGTGATGAGAAACCTTGACAGCATCTTAAAAAGCAGAGACATCACCTTGCCAACTAAAGTCTGAGTAGTCAAAGCTATAGTTTTTCCTGTAGTGATGTATGGAAGTGAGAGCTGGACCATAAAGAAAGCTGACTGCCAAAGAATTGATGCATTTGAATTGTGGTGCTGGAGGAGGCCCTTGAGAGTCCTGTAGACTGCAAGGAGAACAAACCTATCAATTCTAAAGGAAATGAACCCTGAGTGCTCACTGGAAGGACAGATCCTGAAGCTGAGGCTCCAGTACTTTGGCCATCTCATGAGAAGAGAAGACTCCCTGGAAAAGACCCTGATGTTAGGAAAGTGTGAAGGCAAGAGGAGAAGGGGACGACAGAGGATGAGATGGTTGGACAGTGTCATTGAAGCTACCGGCATGAATTTGACGCAACTACGGGAGGCAGTGGAAGACAGGAGGGCCTGGAGTGCTCTGGTCCATGGGGTCACGAAGAGTCGGACATGACTTAACGACTAAACAACAACAATGAGAATGACAAAGAATTCCATGAACTCTAGAGTCAGATAGGAAGAATAAATGAATAAGTAAAGAACAGTCAATAAGGATTCAGGATTCCTTGACAGGGATTGGTGGGGATGGGAAATACGAACAACATTTGGCTTAACTGACATAGCTTGGAGAATTACAATTAGGGTGGCGGGTGGCAGAAGGAGCCAAAGATTAAGCAGAATAGATGGCTGATGTACTGTTTTAAAGTCAAAAGTTCAGGGATCCATTTTTTAATATTAAGTCTAATTCTAAATCTCCACATTGGGATAACAGAGCAGATCAGGAGAAAAGACGAGACACAATGTAAAAGAAAGCTAAACAGATTTGGTTAGGGATGAAGAAAAATAGGTTTTCTGAACTACAGACATGTCAGCAAGAGAAATGTGTAAATGCTCTTACCTCTTCCCTGATATGTTCCACTTGTTCTTCCAGCAGTTCATTCCTCTCAGTTAGAGTTTTATTCTTCTTTAATAATGACTGGCCGATCCGAGCAGCTAATTCCAAATCCCGCTCTTTCTATAAAAAGGAAAAAAACATTTCATCTCAATTATTGGTTCATCTCAACAAAACCGCATTTGAAAGCATCAGAAGGCCAAATCTGTGTTTTAGGGAAAATAAGAAAGTTCATTTTTACATACAAAGAAACTAGTTATTTCTGCATATTTCCTTTCCTTTGCATTGTGCAAAAGACATCCATATAATCTACTAAAGCTGTTTCACACAGCAAATCAGGGAGGGTAAGTTAAGTGAAAAATCAGGGAGGGTAAGTTAAGTGAATCCAGAGGCCAGTTGTCTGTCCCTGGAACCCTCTGGGAGCTACAGAGATTGCTAAAAATGGGAGAGGGAAAATGAACCTAAGTTCATTACTGGTTTTGAAAAATCAGGCATATGTTGGTATTAAACAAAGGCCAAAAATCCTGTCACTTTATGTAATAAATTGCTCCAGAGTAGGCTCGCTGAACCTATTGGAATTTGGTAAATCAGGGGGAAAAGGGGGTTGGGTACAGGAGGACTAAGGGCAAAAACAGCCTTTGGAGTTGCATTCCTCTCCTCATCCAGTAACATACTATGAATTACATTTAAATGATAGATCAAGTGGAAGATAACTAAATCCAAATTAGTTGCAGCTTGATCTGATAATGGGCAACATGCAAATAAACTAAGTATACAAATTGTAAAGCACTTATGGTGAACTTAGCTATTCATATGTACATAAAGTGTGCCACCTACATTATCTCAGTGAATCTGACAAGCACCCTGTGAAATAGGCCCACATTACTCTTTTAGAATTATAAAGAAATAAAACTCATGGATTATAGTTTAGTCTGCTGAGTTAAATTCTATAACACTAGAAGCAGTGACTTACAGTTCATATGTCATGTTCTACACAATATATGTGCAGCAATGGGAGCATGGCCAGGCCTTGCAGGGTACCTTATATTTCACAATCAGTTTGGGAACCAGACAGATGTAAATACAATGACTGAAATCCTGTTGATTAGCATAAGATAATATGTCACTTGCATTCTGTTCCTCACTGGGGATGGGAGACACACATGCTGGTTTGGTGAATATGCTCATGTCTCTGAGAATCATGTCGGTGGACTTTTAATTTCCCTGTTAGGAACAGAATGAAAGCTTTTATTAGGGTAAGCAACTTGAGTTCAGCCAATGGGTTGAAGCTGTCAGTTAAGCTCTTAACTTTTGGTGCATTGCTTCACTATCCTATCCTATCCTATCCTATCCTATCCTATCCTATCCTATCCTATCTATCTATCTATCTATCTATCTATCTATCTATCTATCTATCTATCTATCTATCTATCTATCTATCTATCTATCTATCTATTTATTTATTTATTTAATATCCCGCCTATCTAGTCGGTTAAGACCACTCTAGGTGGTCTATTTACCTCACTAAAGCTGGAACAATGGACTACAAATTTGATTAAATATTTCAAAGGGCACTTTAATATATTTGATGTCAACATGGGATACTTGCCTCTTCTAGAAGACGTGTAACAGCATCAATGTCATTGTATGTTTTAGTCATCTGGCCCACTCTTTCAGCACATAAAACTGGAATAAAACAAGAAATAATTCATGCATTTTCTCAGTGTTTTGATTCTAAAAACATGACACATTACAGAGTAAAATAAAGCTTTAGTGTTTCTAATAATTATATTGCATCACATTTCACAATTAAACAAACACAGTGGCTTTGTGTAAGTATGAATGTTGTGTAACTGAGATGGCAGAACAAGCATAACAGGTAGTTTCAAATGATTTAAAACATTTTCTGAAGCCTATGGTTTAGAATGCCCTTCTTGGATGCACATCTTAATGTGAGGGCTTTGAATGTGTCAGCGAAGCTGACAACAACTCTGTCAGGAGGCCAGATTCTATTATAAGCCTGGACTCCTAGCAGGGTTACCCAAGACTCAACAGCTACAACTGAGACACCAGACACATCTACCCTCTTCAAGAGAAACTGCTGCATCACTAGAAGAAAATGAATAGTTCCAATGGTGATGGGCAGCAGTGGTAGTTGTAGGTAAAACTGGCAGAAAAGGTGGTGATACTCAAGCTAACATTTGTTATTACCGGGCAGAAGGGTCAACTGGTAAGCCACTGCTGAAAATTTCTTACCCTGAAATCCCTATGATGAGATAATCCAAAATGAAACAAGAAATAGTGAGATAATCCAAAATGAAACAAGAAAGGTGAGACTCCCAGGTTGGGAGGAAGAACACAGGTCTAATGCAAGCAGCAGTGTCACTAATGATGCAACTAAGTTAAAAATGAAAGGACATCTAGTGGCTGACATGCACAGAAGTGAAAGGAAAGTCCAATGATTCACAACACATACAATTGGAATATGGAATGCAAGAAGTATGAATCAAGGTAAACTGGAAATGATAAGGCAAAAAATGGAATGTATAAACATAGTAGTGCCTGGTGGCAATGAGTGAACGTGGACTGAAATGGGATATTTTCAGTCAAACTACTATTGTTCTACTCTGGAAATGAAAAACTCAGAAGAAATGGAGTGGCACTGATAACTGAGGCAGGATGTAGTACAGACAGTTAGGGTCTATAATACAAGATCTGACTGAATAATATCAATGTTCCAACTACGCAAGTTGAAGAAGATAAAACTGAAAGTTTTTATGCAAACATCCAGGAAAAACTTGATCACACACCAGAAGAAAGCATGCTTCTAATCATAAGTGACTGAAACGCAAAAGTAGGAAACAACGCAGATACAAATGTTGTTGGAAAAATGTGTCTAGGGGACAGAAACAAAGCAGGATAATAACGCATAGAGTTCTATGAAGGCAACAGCCTGTTTATTGCAAATATTTGCTTTAAGCAACCAAACAGCTGCCAGTACACAGGGGCACCACCAGATAGTCAATAAAGAAATCAAATAGACTACGAAATTTGTCAAGGAAAATTACAGGCCTGAGCAGAATGGAGTGTATTAATGAGAAGCCATAATGATCAGGTGTGTTAAAACTGAGTCAGGATGACTCAGCAGTGCTGATGCAACTCAGGGATGATGCAACCAGTAATCTGATTGGTTCTGTATGTGTATATAAGTGTGAGTTGTACAGTCAGTTGTATCTTCCTAGATGACTTCTACACGTTATGCTGCCAGAATGCTGTAAAGACTGCTGTAAATACACGCTGCTGAAGGAAATGCTGCTGGACTGTGCGTGAGTTATTTCTGGACTGCCTGGACTGCAAATTACTCTGCTAGAACCGCGATTTCCCCTGCTAAAACGCTAACAAAATTTGAAGCAGGACATGCAGAAGCTGTATTCTCTCAGCCAAAACAAGACCAGAAACAGTCTGTGATACTGATTATGAACTGTTAATATTCAACTTTAGAGTAAAGCTGAAAAAAAGACTAAAAAGTTCACAATACCAAAATATAATATAAACAACATTCCTGATTAAAGTCCACATAGAAAAGCAGATTTGCATAATTAAATGCAACTACTGTATTTGACTAAGATAAAATAAATATAAGATGGACGGAGTGTACTGAAGACCTATACAGAAGAAATAAAAGGACACTCCTTTGAAGAGGAATCCTATGATGAAGAACCAGCAGTTTGAGAAGGTGAAGTGAAAGCTGCTTTGAAAGTACTGAGAAGAAATAATTCATCAGGGTATGGAAATGTTCAATATACATTTCAGTCCCCAAGAAAGGAGATGCCAAGGAATGCAGCAACTACAGGACCACTGTTCTAATTTCCCATGCAAGCAAAATGATGCTCAAGGTGTTACAACAAAGGCTTTCACCACTGTGGAGTTCTGAAAGTTTCAGCCCACAGGTGGACTTCTACAATGCCTGCAATTTGATCACATGGGCAGCAGCCTGACTCAGGCCTTGCCTCATGGTTGGGGGGCCTGCCCCATTGCTTCCAGTGGGACCTGAGACTTGGTGAGGGTGCAGTTCCCTGTACAACAGATTTATATACAGCTTAATTAGTAGTGTGAGGACTTGGGCCTCCTGGGAGGCTTGGGGATAGTTTCCTTTTTGAGGGGAAGTAAGTCTGATTCCCAGTGGATTCCCTATGTGGCGTAATGGGTAGAGTGATGGACTAGGATTCTGGAGAACAGGGTTCGAATCCCCACTCAGACATGGCAACTGATTGGGGGAGTGGAACTGGTAAAACCACTCCTTAATTATCTCACTTACCTTGAAAAAATTATTAAGGTCACTATAAATCATTTCCAATTTGATGACACAGAATAAACAGATACAAGGTCTGAGAAAGGAAATAGGATCTAGGTGGGCATGAATCTAGGTGGCTGAACTTTGGGTGTTGGATGGGGAATTTTGGGGGTTGGTGGAATTTGGAATAATGAAAAAAATCACACCCGTATGTGACACCCGTGAGCCGGGTCGTGAGGTGATGCTGGGAGTGCTGTCTCGCCCAAAAGCCTCCGTGGGCACTCAGACAGCCCCCAAGCCGTTCCCACCCTGGATGCTACACCAGTCCATTGATACACTGGACTTGGAAAGGGGGCTGAAGGGGTTAAATATAGCTACCCAGACTCCTCTGGTTTGGGCGGGAAAGGGGGCTAAGGATCCTGAGGAGGGAGCGGCAGGGAAAGTCAGTCACCGACGGTCAGGGGAAGAAGGTGGATGGGAATGGGTGTCCATCCAAGACCCCTGGT